CCTGCTTCAGAAAGGAAACTGGAGCATAAGGCAGCTGAGCAAAATCACAGATGCAGGTATCAAACATGACTCCTGATTTTTGCAGGATGCATAAATGGCACCCAGGGCAATGCTTGTTTTGCAGAACATGGGAACCTTCCCTAGGACTCACTTGGGATTACAAAACCCCAACCCTTCCCTAAGAACCAAGGGCAACACAGGAGAAATACCTCCAGCAAGTGTTCTGCTGATGTCTGGCCGTACCCAAACCCTTCACTGCTTGAGAGCTATAGCCCTTGCTAGTGAGTAGGCTTCTTAGAGGGGATGCCTGCAGGATGCTACTAAAGCAGCAATCTCGTCCTTGTGCCAATTCACCATGTGTTGTCACAGCAAATGAATATACTCTACTATTTCTTATACGCTGCGTGCTATTTTTACTCTCAGCAATGGTGTATGTCCAAACATGTCTGAAACACTATGAGAATGAACGCCCCTTTTTCCTTATAGTTCCCTGTTACAAAGATCTGGTTGCACACTGTACACAAAACATGAGCCACCACTTCATTTTTTCACAAAACATACTGAAGTTAAAAAGATCTGTACTCACAGCTCAAGACATGAGAATTGGGGATGTAATACCATTGCACAATAGACTCATAGAACCTTTAAGTTGGAAAAGACCTTTAAGATCATCAAGTCCAACCGTTAACCTATACCTTCTAATACCACCACTAAACCGTCTCCCTAAGCACCTTGTCCATACATCTCTTAAATCTCTCCAGGGATGGTGACTCCACCATCTCCCTGGGCAGCCTGTTCCAATGCCTGACAGCCCTTTCCCTGAAGAAACCCTTTCAGCAGAGTAAGAAGCTGAGGCACAGAGCCAGACATGTCAAAAGAGAGCACTGCTTTTTAGTGCTCATTTTGTTCATCCCCCTTTCTTTTTTCCCCAGAAACTTTATCTTGCACATTCTTATTCCCTCTAAGTTCACCCCTATAATTTTGTATTTGGGTTGGTGCAGGCTCATCTCTGCAACCCCAGGACAAAGCAGCCTCAGAAGAAACAGGAACAAGTAGAAATTTGCCTTCCAAATTCTAAACCGTGGTGAAGTGTGATGGCTTTCCGAACTGGGCTCTTAAACCCTCAGAAATACTTCAGAAGTGCAAGGAACCTGCCATCACAAGGCAAAGCAGCCTGTCCACGCACCTCCGAAAAGCTGTGCACACGCTGTAAAACCTGGGGCGGTATCTTACACCTTCAGTAGAAGCTGACAGCTTTGTTTAATAAGTTTAAGAGGGTCCATAAAACACTGCAAGTTCAGAATGCCTGCCAATTAATTACCCACAAAACACTGCCATTTTAAAGCACATTTCAGTTAATAAAATGCAGACTCATAAATTTCACATGATTCTCCTTCTCCTGTGTCAAAATACAATTCCTGTGCTCACTCCTACTCATAAGCTTTGTGTCTGGGAGATAAAAGGAGTGGCTGTCTCCCCACTGGTGACTTCTATCACAGAATGGTTTGGGTTGGAAGGGACCTTAAAGACCATCCAGTTCCAACCCCCCTGCCATGGGCAGGGACACCTTCCACTAGACCAGGTTGCTCCAAGCCTCATCCAGCCTGGCCTTGAGCACTTCCAGGGATGGGGCATCCACAGCTTCTCTGGGCAGAAGAGAATCATGTGAATATCATCTCTGAATATCATCAGAATATCGTCTTAAAGCTCAGAAGCTTTCAAAGAAGATACTCAGAACCCTTCTGAACATTTTCTGGTCACAACTTTGGGTAGGTAGAGACGTTCTCTCTGGAAAATAAGAGTGACCATGCTGAAAGGAGTTCGACCAGCCCATTGCTCAGCCTACAGCCCTACCCACTGCAGTGAAAAATGTACAAGTCCAGTCGTTACATCTGGCTTTCCCCCAGGGGATGTTTCTTTGCAGCCCCAGGCAGCTAATGGTTTTAAGTAAATGGCTGAACACCCTGTACACATTTCTATTATTACGTAATTTCTGTCACTTATTATCCATTTTTAATCCTGCTAGGCTCTTTGTCTTAATGGTATCTGATGAATTTCCCAGGTTAATTATGCACCACATAAGAAAATATTTTATTTGTATCACTTCTAAATTCACTGGCTTTTAGTATTACTGTATAGCACTCCACTTGCTCTTGATTTATGGGAAAGGCTAAATAGGATCATCTGGCTGACCTCTTCTGGCAGTTCACTCTCCTATATACCACTAACATATCACCTCTCATTTGTCTCTTAATCAATTTAACCTTCCCTCCTATGGAAGATCTGCCACACCTCTTATAACGTGCTCTGTCTTTCACTGGATGTGCTGTGTATCTGTTCTGCCTTTTTGAACAAAACCCTAAGTATTCAAGGTGAAAGGGTCCTTAATATTTTCATTATTGATCTCTCTTCAGCTCTTAAAAGAATCAAGTGGCTCGTGTGTGTCTGATTGCTCCTTTACACTGAAGAACTGAACTGTCCGTAGCGCTCTCCGTGGACCAGAATGACAAGGGAATTTGGGGAATTAAGTGCTATTTCTGATCCATACAGAAAACATATCACTGCTGCTGGTTCCTACCTTGAGGCCATCTCACCTTGCAGCTGCCCAGGTTTGCATCAGTAGCTTTAGTCACTGTGT